CTGCTGGGGACGGCGGGGAAGAAAGAAAGAATACAAGGCACGCCGCAGGCGAAACATGAATGTGTGAGCGGGAAGGACTCGGACTTGAGGACCGTGTTGCTGGGTCGCGCAAAGATGTGGCGATTGGTGAGGGTTGAAAGGAAGCGACTAATAAAAAGTCGTGGAGCCGCGACGGGGGGAGGAAGACGAAGGGCAGAAGAAAGGAAGAGGAACGAACACTTGCCCGTCCCGTCTGCTCTCTCTCTCTCTCTCTCCTGCGAGGCAGAAGTGGAATAAGAAAAGAAGAGACATCCAAGACCGAGAACAATGCCAAGACCCCTCCAAAAGCAGACGGGCAGGCAGAGAGCGAGAGAGAGCTAGTCGAGGTGACTGGACTATGGGCCAATGTCTTGCCATGGCTGGACGGGAGTGACAGAACGGCCCAATGAGTGGACGGACGGCGGACGGATTGGTGGTGGAAAGGCCAAAGAATGTACCTTGCTGCCAACCATTGAAATCCGAAGAAGCTGACGTGCGCTGGCGATGGAATGGAATGTACGAAGCCCAACCGCACGGTAACTGGTAAGCTGAGCTCTGCCTGGCCTGGCCTGGCTGGGCCGTTGGCCCGTTGGTTGTCGGACGGAGGACAGGCACAGAGGGTATCGAATGTCAGTCAGAAAGAGGGCATTTGGGGCATTCCATTCCTCAGCGGACGGATTGCCCGGGACCTTGTTCCTCGTCCACTCCCGTCGGTCCCTGGTTTTTGGTAAGGTTGTGTGAAGGAGCCGTGGCGCGTCTGTACCGCACCGCCAGCCAGCAGCAGCAGCACACTACCGGTCGTTGCCGACTCTGCCCTGCTCACCGGGTGATGTAAATCGCTGTCAAGTGAGACTCGTGACCGGGGTTTTCTGGAGATGGCCATGGGGCTGCTCCTCCACGATCTCTTGGTGAAGGTCATATTGATCGGCGCATCGCAATGCGCACGCTGGAGACGACGTCCATATCAGCCGCCTCCATCCTTCTCGTGTTGAGTCGAGCACCAGCAACGACAAGATGTAAAGTAAACACTTCGGAATGGCTTCAGAGGAGGTATATAGGTACCTGACTGGCCTCGGACAGCGAGCCCGGCCGTGGCCATGGGCTCTGACCCTGATCCCGGCGTTGAGTCTTTTGGTCTGTCTCTCCCGTGGGTTGGTTGACAAGGTCGGTCTGGAGCAACGGTGCTCGCACCACCCACCGCCATCCCACGTCTTTTCCTCTCTCTCTCTCTCTCTCTCTCTCTCTCTTCCTCTCGCTGCGCGTAAGGTACGAATAATGTTCGGTGGGCGTTGTAAGAGCGAGTGGTGAACAGTGGGAGGTAGGTGTCAGTCGCTGACCTGGAGTGCCTGACCTCGAGGCGCACATGGCTTGGGTGCATTTTTGTATCGTGTTAGCAAGGCAGAGCAACAGCGTGGGCGGGTGTTGACCGCTTCGCTCACCGCTGCAACGATAGGCTGGTACAAGGCAACTGCCGCCAGAGTGCTGCATCCAGGGACAGGCTTGTGAGGAGCAGGGTCTCGAGCAAGGTACCATGACCGTGGCTAGTGGTGAGGTGAAGCAGACAGGGTAGAGAAGCATGGGTTGTTGGTGTTTTGCACCACTCTGGAGCGCGCAATGAGGGAAAAGAGCATTATACTGCTGTTTCTGCTGCCCGGTCTCTGTTGCTGTCCGCTTCTGCTTCTGCCTTCCTCGCTGTTCTTGTCCTCTTTTTGAATGACACTGTCGCGAAGTAAAGGGATTGGGAGAGAGAGAGACAGGCAGAGATCCAAAGTCAACCACCGCTCGCACTTGGGGATGAATTGTATTCGCACCCCTGTCGTTACTACCACATCATCCCTACCCCCCATCCCCTCCTCGTCCCTCGTTCCTCCCCCCCCCCCCCCCCCCCCAAAGGTAAGGGGAGAAAAAAAAAGGACCAACTGCCGCCCAAAAAAAGGGACCCCATTTTCGCCAGGTGCCTGTGTGGAAGGCAGCCCACTTCAGCCCGCCCGCTGTCCGCCGGTGAGTGGCCCCTTGGTCCTTGGACGTCCCTTCGTTTCCTGTCCGCCAACCTTGTCCCGTCTGTTTCTCGTCGCCATTGGTATGTAGTCTGTATCGTTGGCAGCTTTTGTTGGTGTTGGTGTCGAATCCCAAAAAATCTAATCGCGGGCGTCCAGTCGTATCCTGATCCAGGCTTTGTCTGTGTCGAGCAGGTCGACAAGATCAGCAACAGGATGAGGGCACACTCATGCGTGCCTATGTGGTTGAGTGAGTTGAATGCCGCCGCCGGGTGATGCGCCAGTTGCCGGCGCACAAGACCACGGGCGGCTCATACACCTCGCTCGATGCGTGGCTCATACCCGACCCATGATAATCCCTCCTGGCTGGTGTACTTGCTGTGTGTGCGTGTGTGTCCCCGAAAACTTGTTGTAGGTATGTATGTTGGACGTTTCGTTTTGAGGCTCATCTGAAGATTTCACCTTGACGAGGAGTATTATTTTTATAATAGCGTATTCTGTATCATGTAATCTGTTTGTCTTTCTCTCTTGACATCAAACAACAACATCTTCTCTGACATACTCATGTATCTGTATTTCATCTACCTTTACTGCACAGCAAGTTATCGTCGTCCAGGGCCTGCCTCACCGGTACCTGGCTCCTCTTGGCGGTCCTGGGTGCGTGTGTCTCTCTGCCCTGCGCTGCCCTGTTCCTCTCTGCCTCTGGCTCCCACCTCCCACTTGTTGTTCCTATCTCCACACCCCCCTTTGCGGTATTCCCAGGTCGTCCCATCCAATCCCGTCTCCCCGTCCGCCCAGCCCACACACTTCAGAGTGTCTGCACTTCACCAGTCACCCTTCTTCTCACACGCCCTCCCCTCCCCTCTCTCCACTCGTGCATCTCGCCGCCCTGCAGGCCCCATCCTCTCTTCTCTCCCAGTCCAGTGCTTCTGGTCGTCGCTGGTTTCTAGTCTCTGCTGCTTCTGCTGCTTCTGTTCTACTGCTACTGCTGGCCCCCCCGTCACTCTCTCACTTCACACGTCCACGTCCTCTTCTTGGTTCCATCCCATCCTATCCCTAATCTCATCCACACACACACGCACACACGCACACACGCACACACACACACACACATATCTTTCTCTCTCTCTCTCTCTTCATCACCTACGCCCTCTCTCTTCTTACCCTCCGCCGTTCTCGCCCTCTCTCCCCTCCCTTTCCTCATGGCCAACTCCGCTTCTGCCTCCTCTTAAGCTCACCGGCGCGTGTTTCTGTAGTCTCCGTACACCGGCCTCATACATAGATAGGTATGGTATAGTGATGCACTGCCAACCCAACTCTCCCATCAACATCGTCACGAATATCTATCTACCTACAGCATTCTGTAAATTAGTAATACGACAACAGCATCTGCTCTTTTTCGTTTCAGCCACCCCAGTCGACGACTTGCAAAAATAGGCTCCACGCTTAAAAAGCGCCAATCCTGAGTCCACCAGAACCTAAATCAACTGGCACTGATCCAGCAAAGCCCATCTCCAAGGGCTCCACCGCGCCCAACGATCCCGTCCTCTGCCGTACCCGTCCACCTCATTTTCTATCGCCAGGTACCTGCCTTGCCTACACACTGCGTAGGTACGGATACTCTGTGCAAGAGGTACCACACCTGAGGTACAACAAGTACCCTGTTCCCGGTGCTGCCCTGCGCTGCGTGTACCACAGTACATTGGACAGGTACCCTGCCCACCTACGCACCCTACTGGCTGTGCTCACCTTCACCTCAACTTGGCTGCCGCTGCACCTTCTCCCACTGCACAGCGCCAGTGCCACTCACTCATTCACTCACTCCCCCCATCCCATAGGTACTGCCTGCGTAAGGTAGGTAGGTACCTCTCCCAGACCAGACAGACCAGACCAGGTGCATACCCATACCCATACCCATACCCATACCCATACCCATACCCAGACCATACCCATACCCATACCCAGACCATACCCAAACCCATACCCAGCACTCACACCCACTTGCTTTCATCTCCCAGTCCGCCTCTTTCCTCCTCCTTCACCACCACAACCACTCCTCCTCCTCTCCTCCTCCTCCACGCCGTCGCCGTCGAGTCGAGGTCGTCGTGTGTCCGTCTGTTCGACTGTCGCCTCGTCGAATGTCCACGATTCCCTCCCGTCGACATCGAAAGATTTCCGTACAGCTTCCTCCGGCGCGCTTCGCCTTATCCCGCTTTCGAAGCACCCCCGGTTCGCTTTGTCTCGACCTGCGGCTGCCGACACCCACCCTCCACTCTCTGGAATTTCGGCCGCTCCTGGACTGACACACCCAAAAACCAAAACAATCCACCGCCGACACTCACACCTCGTCGTGATCTTGTCGCTTTCATTCTGCTGTTCCTGCTCTTCGCGTTGGGAGAACATACTGGCCCTCGCAGCCCGGTCCTTACACAGCGACAGACCCGGCTCCCAGAGTCCGAACTACACGCTCTCGGATCGCCCTCCACGTAATCCCAGCAACCAGAAAAACACGAGACGGCATTCACCAGAACACGCCTCACCCGCCCGTCTTCTACCTCGTCTTCCACCACGACGACGACGACACCGACGAAACACCACCACCTCCGAAATACTCACGTCGCTTGAGAAGAGAGCCTTTTGCAGCACCCCAAATCCGCTGCAGCAACAACACGCAGGACCCACCTGTTGCCTTACAGTCACACGCAACAATCGGCTAGCTCTTTATGGTTGTCGCAGCACGTCGCTAGGCACCCAGCAGGCAGTCGACGGCTCTCCGCCTCATTGTTCAAAAATAGCCAGCATCTCTTCTGCTCTGCCTGGTTTTATTCGAGCAACCTCACTCCCTGATATCCTCAACTTTCCAGACCCGACAGCGGTCCCCGTCACGACAACCGCTCCAAGGTCCACGATCCACACCCTCGGAAAACCGCGACGATATAGAACGACTCGTCGCAGGGACTTGTTCAAACCCTGTGGAAAGCGGCCATGGCCGCGAACATGCAGCACATGGCGGGAGCGGCGGGGATGATGCAGCAACAGCGTCCCCGGCCCTCCCCAATTCAGTTGAACCAATTTCTCTACCAGACGATGCTGGCCCAGCAGCAGATTCACTCGGGCTGGCAGGCTGGCGTCGCGATCCAAGAGCGCATGATCAAATGCCATAACCTGTACGTTGCGTTGCGTTGCGTTGCCTTGCGCACTCCCCGTCCCGCTTTTTCGCGCCTCGCTTGGCCCGTTCCCCCTTCTGCCAAGCGCCCTGGCTGACGTGCTGCCACCCAGAATCACCAACATCGGACTCGCAGTCGCCAACATAGACTTTATGAAGGCTGCAGAGGTTGGCGTCAACTTCGAGCGAGAAGCCTTCAACAAGTCGGCCGACAAGGTAAGCAGTTGGACCAAGCCACGTTGAAAATTGCTCGCCTCCCGCAGCAAGGTGTGTGTGCACGACTAACCCACCGTCTAGGCCTCGTACGAAGCGCAAATGAGCAACAAGACGAACGAGTTTTTCCGTCGACGACAGGTCGCTGAGCAGAGCATGAGCAACAACATGCAGCAGGCCCAGGCGGCGGCCCAGGCTCAGCAACAGCTGATGATGAATCAGAACAACGCTATGCAGAACCAGATGGGTCGCGGTATGGGGCAGAACCCGCAGCAAGGTTTTCAGCACCTTCAGCACCAAATGCAGGCCTCCCAGCTACAACAACAGCAACAAGCGCAGATGGGCATCAACATGGGCAACCAGGGTGGTCAGCCCATCGGGCCCAACCAGCAAATGTTCCAGATGCCAGGTGGCGCACAGCAACGGCCCCAAAACGGTATTCCCAGCGACCAATCCAACCTGAGCCCAGCCGACCAGCAAAAGGTTGTCGAGCTTGCACAAAAGCTCATGGCTTCCTGCCCCGAATCCCAGAAGAACCATTACCGGCAGATCGTTCAGACACGTTTCGCCCAACGTTGCCAGGAGTACTCTGCGTCGGGCAAAGATCCCGTTCTCATTTGGTTCCAGCATCAGGCATTCCAAGGCCTGACCAAGAACATTGCGATGCAGAGGCAGCGTGCACAGCAGGGCATGCCCCCGAATATGAACCCAGCCCAGGCCGCGTTGATGCAGGCTGGCCGAGGGCAGATGAACCCCGCCATGATGAACGCCGCCGGCATGCAGGGTTACAACGGCGAGTCTGGTCAGTTCAACACGATGGAGAGCATTATGAACCAGCAAAAGGCCGGCATCCTGGCTCAAGCAGAAGGCCAGATGGTTGTTCCCGCCAGCAACGGCCCGGCTCGCAACGCGACGCCTCAACCTACCGCCGGGCCCCAAGGCATGCCGAACCAGGCTGGTCCCAACCAGACGCCCCGGCCACCTCAGGCCCAGCAGCAATTGAGCATGCAACAGGCACAGCAGTTGAAGATGGAACAGCAGCAATCTCAACACGCCGCTCAAATGCGGGCGCAACAGCAGGCCAGACAACTACAAGGACAGCCGAACGGTCTCGGCGGCGCGCCTCCATCGCAGAGCCCCGGCATGAACACGTTGAACACTCCCATGCGTCGACCTCCCAGCGCCATGAACCCCATGGACGGCCAAGGTGGAAACGGTCCATTCGCCAACACTCTGGGTGACCCGCGGTTCAACCAGGGTAACCAACGTCCTATGGGCGTTGGTGCTATGGCTAACAACCCAATCTACAACAGCATGATGTCCAACATGAATGCGGAGCAAAGATCAGCTATCCAGCAACTTCCACAGGACAAGCTCCATGAGGTCATGGGCAAGTGGCAGGAACAACAACAGCGGACCCGCCAGATGAACGCCATGAACCCTGCCATGCAGAGGGCCGGCCAACCCGGCGGCTTCAACATGCCGAATGGACAGTACGGCATGATGCAACAACAGCCGGCACAGGGTGCACCCAACCCGCAGCTCATCGCTCAGCAGCAGCAAATGTTGGCCAGGCTTAGGAACCAGGGGACGCCTCTGGCACCAGCGCACCAGGTGATGATGGATGGTTTGGATCTCCCTCCTCCAGTGCTCGCTCAGATTGGTACCCAGCTCCGCGCCCCTCCCGAGGTTCGCAAATGGAAGGATCTCAGGGCCTGGCTCACACAAAATCCCATTGCGCCTCAAGTCCAGACACAACTTGAGAGGGTCCAAAGGCAGCAGTTCGCGCAGTTTATGCAGAGACAGATGGAGAGGAGGAACCAGGCCGCGCAAGCCCAAGCACAGGCGCAACAGCAGCAACAGCAACCCCAGCAGCAACAGCAGCAACAGCAACCTCAACCCCAACTGCAACAGAACCCTCAGCAGCTCCAACAGCAGCCTCAACAGCAGCAGCTCCAGCAGCAGCAGATGAACGGCATGCAGCCTGGCAACCCTGGCCTCAATCAGCAGGCTCCTGGCCAGATGAGCATACCCGCCAGTATGCTCGCCCAAATGCCCCAGGTCCAGGTCACACCCCACGACATCATGAACGCCCGCAAGGCGAACCCTAAGGTGGCGAGCCTGACGGATGACCAACTCCGGGCGTTCATCGTCCAGATCAAGCAACGCCAGATGGCTGCCGCTATGCAAAAGGAAATGGCCATGAGGATGCAGCAGGGTGGCCAAGGGCAGCCGGGCGCGCCAGTTTCCGCTCCTCAGCCTCCGCAACCCGCAATGGCACAAGCCGGCGTTCCTCAGCCGAACCCCACGCCCACACCTACCCAGCCGACGCAGCATGCTCCGCCGAAGCAGCCGAGCGCCACGCCGGATCCGAAGACTGTTGCCAACGCCGCTCGGCCACCAAACAACAACCGCCCAGCGCCGACGAACCAGCAGCAGCCCCCGAACCCCTCGCCGGCAACGGCGCAGAAGAACCTGAAGCGCCCCAGCACTGATGACGCTCCCGATGTTCCTCAAACCGCCGCTCAGCCCCAGCGACCGGCAATGCCCCGACAAATACCGACCCTCACTCCTGAGCAGATTGCAAACTTGAGTCCCGAGCAGCGGGCCAAGTATGAGCAGATGAAGGCTCGTCAGCAGGCCATGGCAGCCGCTGGAGCCGCGGGCATGGAAAACGACTTTGAGAAGCTGCGACGAATTGGCCAGGAGGAACAGAAGGCCATGATGACGGAGAACATGCCCGACATCCCGATGAACCCGAATGAACGAGCGGAAACGGCACAGCTGCTGATTAGACTGGTGCACGACATGGGCAAGATTGGCAAGGCCTTGGGCAGGTGGTACGCGGCCACTCGAGACGACGCCCGCGCGAGGGCCTACTTTAGAGCTGTAAGCACACTCCTCTGATGAGGCGAATCAATCACTGACACACAGCAGCGCATTCGTATGATTAAGCAGTTCGAGGACGGAGAAACCATGTTGAACCCCAAGGCGGTGTTCAGCATCCGGCCCGCCGAGATCAACGAGGTCAGGCGCCTACTTGAGACCATGGCGCGAGACTGCGCCAACTTCCAGAAGAAGGGTGCCGCGCCGCCTCAACAGCAAGGCGGACAAGCTGCACCAAACCAGGCAAACGCTACACCCACACAGGGTGGACAGCCTGCTCCGTTGAGTGCCGCGAACCTGGAGAAGCAGACGCAGGCGCTGAACAAGATGCACAGTCGATCCAACAGCAAAAGCGGCGGGCCACCGGCGGCACCGACCACGAGCCAGCCCCCGTTCTCGTTCGGCGCGACGTCTCCCCACGGGCAACCTACCTACGCACAGCCAAAGCCCAAGGTCAGCAGGGACAACCTCACACTTCCGCCGAGGAAGAAGACCAAGACCGACACACCACCGCAGCCGAGCCAAGCAACGCCGTCGCCACAGATCAGCAAGTCCGGCTCACCGGAGCTCAAACGACAGCCGGCGCCGGAGCCCAAGGCGCCGCCCAAGCCCATGTTTTTGTGCCCGGAGGCGGACTGCGAGATGGCCACGACCGGTCTCCCGTCGGAGCAGGCACGACAGGCCCACATTCAGGAGGAGCACGTCAAGCCCTTGGAGGACCCGATGAAGTTCATGCAAGAGAATCTGGCCCTTTCGCTGGGCCTAGATGTCAACGGCCAGGTCAAGATGGAGCCTCAGGCGCAGCTCATGGGACAGAACCCGTCCAAGCAGGGTCAGACTCCGGGAAGCAACCCGGCAGCCACGCCCATGTCCCGCGACGCTTCCATGCAACGTACCGGCAGCAAGGTGGGCGGCAAGCAGGACACGAAGCCTGTCATCAAGATGGACGGCACGCCGAAGCTGGAGAACAAGCAGCCCGAGATGGGCGGCGCCCCGCCCGCGCCCATGGATGCTTGGGCCAACACCATCGACCCTGCGAGCCTGTTTACCAACCTCGGCAATTTTGAGATGGGTGCCGGCGGCGTCATCAGCGATATGGGTGTGTACCGGTCGCTGACGCCGAACGACACGCCCGAGTCGAGCAAGGACAGCGGATCGTCGGAGCCCAACAGCGACATTTCGGAGAACGCCAACTTGGATATCGACCTCAACTGGCAGCCTGTTGACGTCGACCTGCTCCTGGACATGAACAACATCAACATGGACGGCGGTCTCGACAGTTTCCCCAACGGTAGCGGCGAGTTCGGTGCGTTGATGCTCGAGGAGGCGATGCCGGTGGAGCAGTTCCCCAACTGGGACGAGGTCAACCCCGATTTTAACAAGCCGTTCCAATTCGACAACAGCTTGTATTCCTTGGACGTTTCCGGATCGTCATGAGGAGAGAGCAGGGAAAGAAGGAAATCAAAAAAGACAGAGGACAGGGACAGGGAGAGTGTGAGATGTTTTGAATACCCCGGAGGAGATTCCAACGAATGATGACCAGCCGGTTCTTCGGACGGGTGGGAAGGGTTAGCATCAGGAAAAGCAAGGCTTCGGCGTTCCTTTGGTGGGCAGTGGCCGCTGCCTCTGGGTCGGTCTATTTGCGAGCGATGATTTTATATGGATACACAACCCTCGGACGAGGGGGTGGAGTGCTTTGCATTGTGTTTTTTTGATCATACTCGTTCCTTTCAGTATTATTGGAAGCCGTTTGGCTCGAGGTTTGAGAGACGATTACGCGTTTGTACCTATTGATCTGCGAAGGGCGGAAGTCTTAGTTGTTTTCTTTGGCGCCGACAAAAGGCGCGACTCTTGCAAGGGCGAGAGGAATGATACCCGAGATTCAAAAAAAAAAAAAAAAAAAAAAAAAAACCGGAAAAGTCCCTAGCATTTTTGTGATGTACGGAGTATGTGCTGCAGCAGTTGGAAGTTTAATGAGCAGTGACGACATGGTACACGGTCTCTGGCGGTGGTTCAGTGTTAATAAGACGCGTGTTGGTGGGCAATTTACGGCGTTGGGCGACCCATGAAGGGATGGGGGGAGCTGTCACGTCGATCCCAGCAGCGTGGACCCTGACCCCGTACCTGCATTTCACTTTCTTCAGCGCTAGGCCGCATCCGCTCACAGGTGGCTAGTGAACCCCTGCAACGACAGACGCGCCTCTGGGGACATGCAGGGTTATGTAAGCCGCGTTCTGGACCATGGGCGCTCTGTGATGCGCATCATGCCCTGGAGCGGGCGCTGTAGCGTGCTGAGGTAGGGGCCGTACAGCGGCACCACAGCGGACTGGCGGCAGGGGTACGCGCCCGCCGCCAGCCACCGAGACAGGGGGGACGGAGGGGGCACCAAGTTGCACCAACCGTCCCCGGCCCGCGATGGATGTTGGTGGGGGACAAGACGAACCGCGAATGCTGCCAGTGTGTGAGGTGCTGTATTTCAGCAGGTAACGTGCTTTTACAGCGGTGTTCGTCCGCTAAAGACTGGTCGCGACTTAGCAGACCAGGCCGCCGTTGGAGCGACCCGACCTCACACGAGCAGAGCAGGCGACGCTGCATATTTCCCGGGTACGCGTTCGCCTGCATTCGCTTGTCCGAATCCTGTCAACAACACGCTCCCTCCCTCCCTCTTTAATACCTCTTGGGGCATTTTCCCATTTTCCCTTGCTCTGTGTCGAGAATCCTTCTCGAGCAGTTGTCCTCCTTTTTCTGTCTCCCTAGACTCTCAAGACACGGGCGAGAGCATCTCAACAACGTTGACCGACGCACTTGTGCTCTATTTGTTTGTTTGGACAGCTCTGTGGATTCCAAAACGGCCGTCCAGTTGCTACAGCTGCACGCGGGCACAAGTCGTCGATCATTCGTTCGGTCCGCTACGGCCCAGCCCAGCCACGAAACCGTACCTTTTGCCCCGAAAGTCGCTCAGGTTGCACTCCGGAATCCTGAATTGACCTTGTTCTTGCAGCTGCAGCACTCTGCCCTCAACCTCACTTCTACCAATCCTCCTCCTCCCTTACCCTCCCTCACCTCAATCTCCATTGCGAGGCTTCTTTCCTTCTCGTCCCCTCCACCACAGCAGCGGTTCCCGTAAACCACAGACACCATGAACCCCTCATCACCAGCCAAGAGACGCGCCCTCGCGCCCCTGGACGCGAACGTCAACGCGATGTCGCCCAAACGCCAGCTGCACAACAAGACCACGATGCCCGGCTCGCCTCTCAAGAGCCCAATCAAGTCTCCCCTGGGCCTGAAGAGGTCCCTCGACACCGTCATCTTTGACGAGAACAGCGTCGTCCCCAAGAAGAAGCAGTGCCAGGAGCCCGTCAAGGTCGCCGCACCCTCGCCCGCACCCGCACCCGCACTGTCACTCAAGGCGGAGCGTGTGTCTGCTGCAGCAGCTTCTCCCGCACCCGCAGCAACGTCCACGCCGCCTCCTGCACCCGCACAGACCGAGGAGGACATGCCCAACGCGAAGGAGGTGAGGGGCCTGCATACATCACCCGAGGGGAGCGGAGCTAATGCGTGTGAGGCACCGCAGCAAACGACGCAAGAAGAACCCCTCCATCTCAAGCCCGAGAAGAAGGACGCCATCACCACCGCCGCGGACGACGAGCAGACGCCCCGCAGGTCCGCGTCCCCCGCCACGTCGTCCGTGTTCGATAACTCCGCCATGGACACGTCCCAGAACACCACCATCCTCACTGAGCCGGACCAGGAGCAGGCGGCCAGGACGACGACGACGACGCTGCCGCCGCCGAGGCCGAGGAGGTTGTTGACGCGCGAGGAGGCGCGACAGGTACGGCGAGACAGTACGGGGGACAAGGAACGAAATGCTGACTGGCGTCTGCTACAGAAAGCTCGCATCTTGAGGCTGAAGCTCGGCCTCGCCAACTACAAGCTCCAGACGGGGCAGGAAGACGTGCCCCTCGACAGGCTGCAGGTCAGGCCGCTGCCCGGGCAGGAGAAGAGGGCGTTGCCGAGGGTCACGGTCCAGCCGCCCTCGAGCCGCGACGGACCCCCTGAGAGCGAGGCCACCATCGAGGCGGACGACCGCAGGGAGGAGGAGACGCAAGAGGAGGAGGTCGTGGTGACCAAGCCTGAGAAGACTACGCTGCAAACCGTCCCCGAGGAGACTTCGACGGCCGAGGATTCAGCAAGCCCTGTCTGCGGAGGGGCCGTGAGCAGTCTGCTCAGTCTGGCGAGGGCCTCGTCGTCCGTGTCTGCCTCGTCATGACGTGTCGATTACGGATTTTCTTTTTAGTTGCATTTGGGAGATTTATGACTGGGGTTTGATATCCAGCATCACGTCACAGCAAACGAGTTGGACAATATCGCGAGATACGTTTTTGGGGTGGCTGATCTACACATGCTGTCGGATCTCATCTCAAATCTTATGTCCAGGGAGGATGGGGTGGAGGTCATTTGTCTGATTAATTAGTCTCGGCGTCTTGTGGCAAAGACGCGCGAAGAGTAGAAATACCCTTGTCACGCTACAGCATGAAGGGCCGGCGTTACACGGAGCATAGGAGCATTAGGTAACCTCACATTCTTTCTCCGGAGGGAAAAAAGGGGGCGGGAGTACTGCGGTAATTGACGCTGGTCTTTCTGGCCACACAAAAGAGGGAACTTGTTCGTCTGATATTCTTGTGGTGGTTGCATTGCAGCTCCAGGGCGTGAGGAGAAGCCAGGCTAAGCTTTTTCGTGATATGGATGTAAGGGGTGAACTATGCTAAGTTGGAGATGGTGTGCTGGTTGACGGCCGCTACACGACGGGATAGGACGGCGGGTGCGGGGTGGACATTGGGAAAACGAAGGTTCGGGTCTAGACCGAACGGGCGGGGAATGGAGGGAGGGGTTGGTTTGTGTATTGTCGTGTGCGTGTTACGGTCACGGCGCCGTGGGGGATGGGGTACGGCGCGGCGATCGGCGGTGGGGCGGGGACCGGGATCACGGCGCGGGAGTGGGAGTTGGGGGTCCTTGGGGGGACGTGGACGACGTCGATGATATAGAACAGCGAGAAGTCGTTGGTCGTAGTAGTTTGGATGAAGGTGCATCAAGAATCGTGTCTTGACACCGCTGGCCATTAGTGTGCTTGCAATTGCTCAAGGGCGAGACCAGCGGCAACAATCCGTAGGCAGCGAGCGCTTCATCCCGTCGGCAATTGAGCGTGGACAACAGTCTCGCATCGAAACGTAATTGAGGAGTGATGGCGATTAGTTTCAAGAATCCAATCCTTCGGCTCTGGACCTTAGAGCATGACCAGCACGCTTCGCGAGTATCTTCTGCAGGTCTGGAAATGTCTTTATTATACAGAGTGTCACCGTGACTTGAGCGGAAAGGAAACGTCGTTCAGTGATTGTTAGCTTAATCAGACCCATTAGAGTTCGCAGTGCGTATGATGTTATGTAATAAAGTAGTGGATCTGAGAGACTAACTCAGATGAAGAGAATTATACAGCAAAGGCGGGCTCAAATATGAAAGTAGTCAATCTGAGTAGACTGTTTAGACCCACTTAAGTTCCTAAGTCGCTGCTTACTGCGAAATTCCCAGCTCTGAGTAGGCACCTCAGCAGCCGGGCTCTACAGTGTGATCTGCCACTCACTAGAAAGTTGATAGGTCCTAGAGACGCAGCTCAGATCGACTAAAGCGTGGTTTGAGGCGCGATTCGCAGCTGATTTCTCGTCGTCTGCCACCTATTTTTTCCCAGCATCTCCGTCCTATGCCCGCCGGTCGTGCCCGCCCCGTCTTGCATCTTCTCTACCTACCTAGCTAAAGCATGACAGCAATACTCGGAAGATTTTGTCTTCTACTCATAATGGATAGAGCCCACATACCCACTAGAACTTCTCTTCGTAATTTTGTTCGGCGGCGTGCGGCAGAGCGGCAGCTCGCCAAGTATCTATGGTCGGTAAACAGGCCACGGATGGCAGTCAAGTCACGGATGGAAGCCGGGTCGCAGTTAGGTCAAGTTTTACTTTGATTAGCTACCTGCCCATCTATCCTCCACTGGCATTGTGTGCCTTCCTTCATTGAATACGCCATCAAGCGTGCTTTCACGATCCCGTTGTGGGGATATCTCTCTAGTATGACAACCTTCCTGGCGCCAGGTGCCAACTCTGGTTGATACCGAGGGCCGCAAACTCTTCGGCAGTAGTGGAGGCCGGAAGTGGCTCTGAGGCCCCGTTGTCGCTGTTGTCCGGGTATGACGTATTCGGGTCGTTGATAGAAGGGTCATCCAGCATCATGGAGTCGGCCCCGCGATCAGGAGAATGATTGTCCCACAAACGTCCCAACTCCTTTAATTCTCGCGTTCGTCGAGACATCTCCTCATTATTCTGGCGGAGTGACTCTTCGAGTTTCGTTATCGAGCTGGCCTGCTCGTTCAGCTGCTGTTCGAGAAGCTTCGTCTTATTCAGCTGCTGTTGTAGAAGCTCATCCTTCTCCTTCAACTGCTGTTTGAGAAGCTTCGTCTCATTCAGCTGCTGTTGAAGTGCCTCGTCCTTTTGACGCAGAATGTTTCTGTCTCCTGTGATTTGATGCTGGGCCCCCATGCCGTGTCGGGTGGCTCTTGATCGGTCTGCTGCTGGTCGCCCAAACGCTTGTGGCGATTCTCGGCCTTTGCCTTGTAGCGGCGAACTGCGACGAGGGCTCGCTCAATGTAAGTGGTGAGCGCCGATGGGCCTAGAGGCGGGTTGTCTGTAGAAGAGTTGTACATGTGCTCCTTTATGAGCTCTGTTGGCAGGAAGGAGGGTATCCCCATGTACGCCGTTCCATCCAATGCTTTTTGGACGGACGCCAGATCATACCGAGAAATGGTGTAAACGTTGACAGGGCCATTCTTATCGGTAGTGTCCACGCGGGCCTCGACTTCGACAATTTCCTCCAGGGCCGTCAGGAAGAGCGAAAAGATCGATGGCGTGCGCTGCTGCTTGAGCCGCTTTCGCACCTGTTTATGCAGGTTGTAAATAGGCAGATTCTGGCCCTTGGTTTCCTTAATGACCTCCTCAAATATCTTGAAGAATGGGTCCTCGTTTGGACGAACAAGCTTCCATGAGCGCAGGTCGCGGTTCCTCAGTATGGAAGTGTATTGCAGCGCAATGACGAGAAGTCTGGGATCTCTCCCCCACAGAGGGTGCGGGATGAGATGGTACAGGGTCAAGCTGAATTTCGGAGCCCATTTGTCCCGGATCTTGCCAATGTTTCCGCCGTATACGAGGTCGTATTTTTCGGAGATGAGCTCGAACGGCGTGATACCGAAGAATCTGAGTGATTGCCGGAATGCCTTGCCAATGTCGGCATCCTTGTACTCGATGAGATCTAACCGATACGGGTCTGCCTGCCAGCTGCTTTGGAGCGCAGTTTCATCGTCTGTCGACCAGTCTTGATCATACTCCGTCTCTGGTAAAGCTCGCGGCAAGAGCACCTCGAGGTCTGGTTTCGGCAGCTTGCGGACGGCTTGTGCGTTGAGGGTCCCGGTGGTATGGAATACGGCGTACTCGTAATCCACCCATGCTGACTTGTCCTTGCCCTGACAGACGTGTTCTACGTCCTCTTCGCCTGTCTTAGCTTTCGCTTTGCGAGACTTTTTGACATTTTCAGGGTCGCCATCGTGGCTTGATGGGCGCTTTTGGTGCGTTGAAGTTGACTCCATCTTGGGCTGATTTATGCGCAGGAGGGTTGTACGGGAGAAAATTTGCGCGGATGAGCGGGCTAAAGGAGGAGAGGAAGAAAGCGAATATTCTGCGCGGTGTGGCAGATCCTGAGTTGTAGGCAGGAATGGGAAGGAACTCCCGCTCGAAGTGGGAGGTGCCTTCCTGGCAAAGGGGCCTCACGTTAGAATCTCAAGTCCACGGCCCACACCCGCACACTTTGCCAGGAGGTTGCCTACCTTTCCTGTGTTAGTGAGAGCGACTTAGTTCTTAGAGGTTAGGCTACTATTGGGGTATTTTCTATCTTCTCTATCGTCGTCCTTATCTTTGTCGTCGTCCTCGTCGTCCTCGTCGTCGTACTCTTCGTTGTACTCGTTGTCCTCGTCGTTCTCGATCGGTGGATGATACACCTCCAACATGAAGCAGACAAGATGGATAGTAGACAGAGACAAATCAGGCGGGCTATTTACTGGGCCCACGAACTGCCGCTTCTATATCCAGGCGCTGGGTGGTGCCCCCCCTTTTTTCTTTTGCCAAGTTCCGCGCCTAGTCATGACCAACTGGAAAAACTTTGCTCTGTGGACAGAAAGGATGGACGTGGAAATTAATTCGCAAGGTCTGAGTGCGAGATAATAATGACTTTGGTTTACGCACTTGGCCGCCTGCTTCTGGCACGGTTCGTGATTGGTAGAAACGACAGCGTATCGCATTTCACGTACATTTTCACTTACGTAGTTCGTTAATGGCCAGATGAGGTATTCGGATTTGGTCTACGACTGTAAACCTTTCCATCTGTATCATTTGACCACTATTGACCCCTCCGTGCCATGCATCCATCAAATCGAGCTACCTATTATGACTGATAAAAGGTCGGGAGCTTTGTGCCAATGTGTACCCAGAATAGTAACGGAAGACATTGTTGATCTTTCGAGCCTTTATGGACTTGACATTCCTCCTCCTTGGAAACAGTAGACTCCCCTGATTCTGCGTACTCAAGGAACGTTTCTTGAGATTGTCTGAAACCTTCGGCGAATGTCTCAAAAACTTCTGAAAGGAGTTAAACTTACCCATTATGGCGCTTTCGTTGAAATTCTTGGCCTTCGCAATGGCTTCAACTCTCCCGTTGACATGGACCTTGTCTGTGTCGACTTTGCAATGCTCAGTGCGAGCGAGTCATCTTCGTGACGATTTGTCCGTCCACCTAATTTGTGCGTTTGTGGACCTTCTTATCGATCTTGCTGCTGGACTTTGTTGAGGTTACGTTGTCCAAGGCGGTCTTCACGGTATGCACTGCGGCGATTTTGTCGACCTTCTTGGTGATTGGTTCAATGGCTTTAGTCATAGTGTTTAAGCCTTCGATCTCGCCGTTGATTTTCCGTTTGGTCTCTGAAACCAGAAATACGGCTTCGAGTATCTCGGCGACATCGTCCTTGGTGCTGTCGAAGTCTTCATCGATGATCTCTGCGGCGATCGTCTGCTCGCCTTGCAGTCTGGGGCATTTCGCCAGTTGCTTGTCTGCCTTGGCTATGGGACCGTCTAGCTTCCCGGTAACTCCCTCATGTTGGCCGACAATTGGGTGTGCCCTGGATCAATTTGCAGACGAGAAACGTGTCCTAGGAAATCATTTACCTATCAGCTTCCAGAGCAAGGCCTTTGTTGGCCAGTTCAACTAGACCCCTTACGAGTGCTTGCAGATGCACCGAGCTTTTAGCTTAATGTCGATATTCACAATCAATGATGAATTCATGACGCCACATCAGAGGGAAAGGAAACGGGCAAAAAGCTCAGTTTGACGATGCAGCAAACCTATGTTTGCACCCATTTCATGACCTGCTGCATCAACATGAAGCAAAGGCGTGGATCCGGGAAGGACGCCCTGGTCATTCCTTTATAGCTTCCAGTGAGACCTAGGGGACGTCTCGGGCTATTGGCAGTAGTGCGGACAAAGCCAAGAGGCCAGCTGCTGTTGACTTGAATTCCTTCTGATTTGACCGATGGAGAGCTCCCTCAGCATTAGCTTCATGTTCATCAAGATGAACTCAGCAAGTACTGTGTGATACTACAAACCTACGTGAAAGCGAGCCCATGGCTTGATATTATCATTCAACCTTAGCCGGGTGATTGAGCTCTGAGATACGCCAGACTTCAAGTAGGCTACTGCGATCTTCTGACAGTATAAAATCTGCCAGATAACTAACCGTTCCTTCGCCGGTAAGCGAGACGGCCATGCCGCCGTTATTCACGGTACCGGGACTGACGTTGGGAACATCGGAGCCGCGTCGGCTCGGCCTGGCAGCTGCCCAAAGTATCGGAGCCCTGCGACATGGGTCAAGGCTGGATCTCGACAGCAAACGGCTTTGCGACGTCGGCCGCATGAGATCATCATGTAATAAGAGCCTCAGATATTGATACATTATCAGACTATCTGTGTTCCTGGAAAGTCGGCCACTGGATCTTAGGACTCAGCCGCTGTAGGTAAAGATAATAGGGGCTCCAGGTCGTGAAGTTAATCAGGGGTTCCGTGCTCTGGGTTACGTCTTTACAGCTGAGATTGAGGGACGTGCTACTAGATGCTCGTTCCTCGATCTACTGGTCCTAGAGGAACCATCGCGAAATACACTCATGCTCCGAAACTCATCTGTCGTAGAGACTGTTCCCGAAAGGACGTTTCCGAGTCATAGAAATGCTGCCCTTGAAGAGACCGTGTTGAACCCAACGAGTCGTGATTTCTAGACATCGGCCTTCTAAACAAATAATCGGAAAGCGATCGGAGCCGACATGCCAGACTCGGTGCTATTACACCTCTCTCAACTGCCGCCAGGCCACTGGTCCGGGCTCAGAGGCTATATCACAGAACAGAATGGCGCGACTTGTAGTGTAGAGCTTACCCAGCCCTGTTCATGATTCACGATCCCTCCCCGTATCAGCCTCCCGTCAAGCAAACTTCCTCTTCTTAGACAACACATCAGACCCTCTCCCTGGCCCACGGCTGATCTTACAAAAGTCACGGCGAATTCTTCTCTCCCCCGCAAAGTCTCACCATCGGCAGTTGTGAAGCCTCCCCCGGATTTCTGCCTTTTCTCCCCCACGGGCAGAATCCGGCGCGGCAATGATGGAAAACATGTATCGCCGGCTGCCAAAGGAGGGCGGGCGGGGTAGCCCGAGCCGACGGATCTGTCGCCACGATGGCACGATATCCAACAAACAAGCTCGACACGACCCGATCAGAGCCCCCAGTACGAACACAGTGGCAGAAATCCGGTGAATCTGCAACTGGCTTACTCCATCGGGCAAATATAGGCCGACTTCAGCCTCATATAGGTAGCCATACCCTTTTTCCAGGACACACATCCCCGGACTGTGTGCCTGTAAGTTTGCAAAGAGGAACCGAAGCGAACCGGTCGTCAAGTGTCTCCCCATGCTTCGCACAATCACTAAACATTCCTGCCAGTTCCCCCTCTGAAAATCGATGACAACTCGACAAAATAACAAAAGAGCAAAGCCAGCAAACGCTTATTCCGAAATACGTGATTTGATTGCACTGCCCCCCGTGCTCGGGATACCAAGACGATAATTGGCTCCTTGGTTGGTTCGCATCTCCCCCTCCCCACCAACCCGTCCTGAGTTCATCGTCCCAAGCGTTTTTGTCTTTCCTCACGTCCCGCTATGCTGTCAATGTGGCGGGGGCCTTGAGGTCAGACGAGAAGGGAAAGAGGAAGATTGGGAAATTGTCAGCCAAATCGGACGATCCTGAACTGGCAATGCAGAAAAGCCCGAAAGTGCGAAAGACACGAAGAAATCCCATGTTGAATGCGAAATGCAAATCAGCCAACATTCATGTAACTTTGCCATTTTCCGTCTCCGTTCTCTACCAGACGCAGGGCGTAACGTCAAGTCAGTTTCCCATCGTAAGTTCATGACCTCGTCTTTCCCATCACTGTTCATGTCACAGGTTCCCTATCGCCGTGGATTTCGACGCACAATGGCCGTCATGTACGCCATCGTCCCTATTGCTGGTCCTCTCAATCACATCAACCTGTCGCGCTCGGAAACGCACAGACACTCGCAACATTCTCGTCATCGTCCGACAACACCAACCTACCAATTCCTGGGCGGCGCATCCCACATCACCTCCCCGTCAGGTTTACATGCACAGCCTTCACATTGCAGTACCCCGCCAGCCCGGCCTCCCCAAGCTCGCGCCCGATGCCGCTCTGCTTCACGCCCCCAAAGGGCACGCGGAAGTCCGAGTCGTTGCTGCTGTTGATCCACACCATGCCCGCCTCGACGTCCCGCGCGACACGGTGCGCCCGCGCCAGATCCTTCGTGAAGACCGCCGCGCCAAGTCCGTATGTCGTATCGTTTGCCATCTTCAATGCCTCCTCCTCGCTGCCGAACTTGACTACCGCGGCACACGGCCCAAAGATCTCCTCCTGATAGACCGTCATCGAGGTCTCGACGTCGGTGAAGACCGTCGGCTGGACGAAGAATCCCTTGCCCGATGCCTGCGGCGCTGGCTCTCCTCCCATGACGACCGTGGCGCCTTCGTCCCTCGCCGTCTGGACGTATCCCAATATTCTCTCGTACTGCGCCCTTGTAATCTGCGGACCCTGGAAAGTAGCTTCATCAAAGGGATCCCCGACAACAGAGATGTTGCGCACGGTTGACGTAAACTTGTCGATGAACGCCTCGTAGATGGCTTCGTGCACGAGAATGCGTGATGTGGCGGTGCAGACTTGCCCCTGGTTGCTCATGATCCCCTCGTGGGACCACCGAGCGGCTTGGTCAAGGTCAGCATCCTCAAAGACGAGTAACGGGGACTTGCCGCCGGTCTCAAGGGTGACGTTCTTCAAGCCGCCAGCAGCAAGCTTCATAATCTCTCTGCCTGTAGCAGTACTTCCTGTGAAAGCGACCTTGTCAACGCCGGGATGGCCAGCTAGCGCAGCTCCAGCGTCACGCCCGTACCCGTTGATGATGTTGACCACTCCTGGCGGGAACCCCG